CCGAGGTTCGAGTGATCAGTGTTTGATCAGCTACAAGAGTTTAAGTCTTGAAGAAAAGCCATCGAATGACAAGTGCCTAGATGCGCTTCGCGCTGCTGAATCCGAAAATCGCATCGGTGAGGTCGAAAAATGAAAAGATCAGGAGATAATAGGGATTTCGAGGTTTTTGACGCCTTCACAGTATTTTGAGGTTTTCTGCATGAAAACTCAGTCAAATCGAAAAAATAAGGTTAGATTCGTGGTCAACAGCGTCCAACGAATCAGAATATGTGTTTGAAAGTTCAAAAGCTTTTCTACTTGATTTTTGAATTAGCGGCACCTTACAAACATTATATTTATTTGACAGGTGAGAAAACTCTTCTTATCTAACAAGATAATCAATTAGGTAACACAGGGATACTTTTGAGTAAACCGTACTGTCTATTTTGTTAACCTAGACACTGGTGTGGTGTATTGTCAGTGTCTGCACATCGTTTATATTTGTAAGCGGAAAAGGGAACAAACGGAAACGGAGAGCGAGCAAAACTGTCTGATGTTTCATCTAATGCGAATAAAACGAGAGTGTGATATGTGCAGAATGAAATGATGCAGTGGAAAAGCCAAATTTCCTAAAATGTTTATTACCATAGAGGGGAAACATGGCCAGAAAATAGCACAGTGCTAATGAAGAAACAATGAGCAATACTCGTCGGCGAATGAGGGTTCTCGGAAGGCCTTTTGAAATTAACATGAAACTTAGACAAAAAGCTTAAGGGGGGATCCCCCATTTAGATATTCTTCTAACGTTCCTAGTTTGTAGAGGATACTTGGAGGTATATGTCCTGAGGTTTTTCCGGCTTGCTGACATTATCTGGCTGAGAAAAAATTAACTACTTAAAAAAACATCCTTAAATTTTTGAACAAGCGAGTATTATTAAAAAAATTCCCGTCGTTTGTCTGGATCCAATCTGTGTGAGATCGCGATATCATTTTCAGTTATTTCCGTTAGACCAACTTTTTGAGCTAATGCGACATTTGACATTTTGCCGATTGAATATACCATCAACCGACAAATATTTTTCATCAGTGAATAAAATTTTCTGAATGTGTTGTTTTCGCAACCATCTTCGCACCCAATATGCGAACTTAATTCTTCGATTTTTGGTGGCATCATTCTAACCGGGTTCAGTGGTTATGTGATAAGCATGTAGATGAACGTCGTCTTTGATCATGCGAGCCATGGTTCCTTTCGAAATACCGAGAGACTTCCCCAATTTTCTCACACTTTGTCGGGGTTTGTATGCAAGTCGCTTTTTGACTTTCTGTATGAGATTCTTTGTTCGAACAGTTCTTGGGCGCCCAGATGATTTATTCAAATCTATGTTGGCAGTTCTTGGATACAACTCTTGCCATCGTCGAATCGTCCGAGCGCTCACAACTTGCCGTAGTTGCTGAGCAAAACGTTACAGACTGGTCTCAAAATCAGGTCTCAAAATCAGGTCTCAAAAATCTTTGCTCACTAAACTGACACAGGGGCAAAAGAACTAGGTCGCGTAGACCTCTAATTTTTACTCTTTATTTGCTCGCACAAATCCAAGTTCACATTAGTTTTTGCTGCAACTCTGCCTTACGTGCATCTTATGCTCAGTCTTTTGTTTCGTCCATTGTCCTCACTTTTTCAGTTAATCATATTCAGAGTGGTGAAAGTTTTATTCACTTTCAATGCCTCTATCACTGCGTCCACTCGTCTATCAGAGATTTTGTTCCGACTAAGATCAAGAGTGGTCAGAGTATTGTTCACTTTCAATACCTCTACTAGGGCTGCACCTCCTTCCTCGGATATTTTATTTCGTACAAAATCAAGAGTGGTAAGCGTTTTAATCACTATCAGTGCCTGTGCCAATGCTTCGACTCCTCTATCAGATATTCGGTTGTAGCCAAGGTTAACAGTGTAGCAAATCAGTCCATTCGTCGACAACATACTATAGTGCAAGAAGAAACAGATGTTTAGTTTTAGCTTTTTTCTTTTTGAACTAAATTATATAATTTTCCTTCTGTTTCTTGGCACCATCAATCAAGAAAAATAAAAGTGTATAACAAAACTCTTAGCACTAACGTTATTGAATCAGTCCAAAACAAAGAGATTTTTTTTTTTTGATTGAATCAGTACGAACAAGATAGACGTATATATCATATATGTATTCTTAATTTATAAATGCTCTAACGTGTACTCTCTCATGGCTAATTCTACCGATAAAAAAACTGAATATTTTACTTCACGTCGAACTGGTACTATGAAACCCAAGATGGTTCCTGATCTATCCGATATTGTCAATAGTGATTTGATTTAAAACGACATCAAAGAAGCGTTGAACGACCCGGAGATTAAAGAACAGTTATCGTCGTTGAAATTATCAAGAAATAATTACATTGTCGACATTTTGCATGCATCTGTTATGAAATCAGTGGAAAAACGTCTGACAGCGATTGAACAACGTTTAACTGCCATTGAACAAAATCAAGAGAATATGGCTTTTGAGTTGAATAAGCGCGAGCGACATTTAAGACAATTCAATCTGCGATTTGTTGGGATTGACGAACAAGAACATTCGTCCCAGGCAATTGTCGCATTAGCTCAAAAAGTTGGTCTAACGGAAATAACTGAAAATGATATCGCGATCTCACACAGATGGATCCAGACAAACCAGGATATAATCGTGTGGTAATTGTTCGTTTCCATTCTCGTGTTAAACGTCGCTCGCTATTAATCAAACGAAAAGAGGTGCAGCAGTCTAGTGCTGCTGTCACCTATGAAGATCCCACAAAAGTCGACAAACATTTAGTTGACGTCCTACTCCGATACTCTGGAAAAACGTCAACTTTATCATCCATAGATCAGGTGTTGTTATATTAGATAAGGATGATTATCTATATAAAATGAATCAAATCTTATCAGACAGCCTTACTTTTCAAGAAATTAATGATGATCCTACAATTACAAAAGAAGACCAGTTAACAAGGAAGTTATTGCAGTTAAAAAATGCCGAATTCATTACGGAGGAAGAATATGAATGGATTCGATCAGTTGGCTCGCAACCAGGCCACATTTATAGACTTCCAAAAGTCCATAAATCTGGAAATCCGTTGCGTCCAATTGTCTCTGCAATTCACACTTATAATTATAAATTATCGTTGCTACTAGCGAGAAAACTAGAACATTTACGTAAAAGTGATATAATTCTATTAGACACATTTTCATTTGTGAATGAGTTACAGCAAGTGAAATTAGGCATTAGTGACGTGACAATGATATCATTTGACGTCGTGTCACTGTTTACAAAAGTTTCATTAGCAAGAACAATAGCAATTATTCTTGACAAAATGTATCATAAACGACACACATGTATGTTTGGCAATATGAAACGTGAATTCTGATGCTCCGCTTGTAAAAATAGATATGAATTGAAATGGCTGTTAGAATGTGCTATAATGGATAGCCACTTTTTATTTAATGGAAATATATCTTCAGATTAACAGGATAGGGATGGGGTACCCCTCGGGCCGGTATTTGCTGACATATATATGATTTATATGAAAGGAAGAATTATGAATCGATTGAAAAGAAATGGACTAATCCTGTGGAAATGATTTGCAGATGACACGTTTACATTGTGGAACTTTGAATATAATGTCAGCAAAATTCTTGAAATATTAAATAGCGTTGACAACGAAATTCAATTTACTTATGAAGAAGAAAAGAACTTGTCATTACCATTTCTTGATATACTCATCACCCGTACTCCACAATCCAAATTGAAAAGGCCCTTTTTAACTATAGTTTACAGCAAGCCTTTATTTACGAGTTTACTTATGAACTGGCATTCGTTTGTTCCGAAGTCTTAGAAAGCGAATGCTATAGGAAGTATGATTTATCGAGCAATAATGATATGCTCAACATACGAGCTAATACGTGACGAATATGATATAATTAGAGCACTGGCCAAACAAAATGATTATCCTGAAAATTTTGTTGAATCTCAAATTAGAAAAACATTTGCCCATTAGATGGATAAACAAAATAAACAAACATCTGGTGTTAAGAAAAAATTAAAAGCTAAAGTAGTCACAAGTAAGCAACAAATCTTTCTCAATTTACTTTACGTTGGAAAACCAACAGAAATTCTTGGGAAAAGAATTATCAATTTAGTGAAAAAGATAAGACCTGACATTCATGTACAACCCATTTTGAGACCGTTTCAATCAGTCTCTACTTATTTCTCAGTTAAAGATCCCATACCCAGAGATTTCCAATCGCACATGGTTTACTGTATAAATTGTTCTAATTGTGAAGCATCATATATTGGCAAGACAATCAAACAAGCAAGAAGAAGATTTTCAGAACATGGAGCTGCAAAATACATCATGCTGTCTTCTCAGTCTTATTTATCGATAACAACAGCGTCGTGCAATCTTCGACGTTCGAAACGAAATATACAGGAATAACGTTACAGTGGGAATACTATGCTGTCAGATGCTGCAGAGGAACAGGAAGTTCCAGATTCAAGTGTGAAAACCCGTTCGGCGTTATTAAAACATGAATTAGACACGGAGCATTCAATTGATTGGACATCTTGGAGAATTCTAGCTAAAGACAGTTCAAGTTACCGTTTATTTATACGGGAATCTTTGGCAATATTGGACAAACAACCAGGACTAAATCGAACCGTATGCAGTGTGCCATTAGTGATTTTTCCAGGCGGTTTACAACGGATCAGACCCACAGTTAAATTAAAACAGGAAAAAATTGTATACTTCTCTCGAGCTGTTCATTTCTTCTATGTTCGAAAGAAGCGGTGAATTTATTCTATATTCTGCCAACTTCTCGAATTAAAATTAAACTAACTAAAGAGGACCCATTTCCACGTTTTATAAACTATAACACAAAATCTTAGTTTATTACTGTAAAGTATAACATTCGAAATTACTGTTAGCGCATCATAAAGAATACAAAGTAGTAAATGTTAATGTGTTCCAGCCACTTCAGCCAAAACCTCAGTGATATTCTTCAGATCGAAATCTGCTCTAACATTCTTTCTAAAACTGCTTGTTGGTCTTTGTCCTCGTCCTTGACGTTTTTTATTCTTGTTAACTGAAACTGCTGTTTCGTTCATATTTTCAGCAGTCATCGAATCGTCAGTCTGCTGATCATCGACTGGTTCATCGTTATCTACTTCCGCTGCCACTACACAGATAAATCCAGTGATTCCAATTACAGCAATAACAAACAGGAGAATGTAGGTCAAGGCAGATGTGCTTATTCTGAAGCTTGTGAATAGAGCCACACCAACAATAGGTGCGACCAAAAGAAGACCAAATAATAGTACACCCAGTAGTAGATATCTTGGATGTTTGAAAGTCAAGTTTGAGTCTTTCGTGCCTTTGTACTTTTCTTTTTCTTCGTCTGACGCTGCTGCAATCATTGCAACTCTTTTTTCAATTTCCTCCGGAGTTAGTGGACGCTTTCGAAATGAATAGACTAGATAACGTAGAACTAGCTGAAGAATGGCACAGAGAGCATGAAGTAGACCGGCACAGGCCCCAAACTGAGTTATGACATCGTTCACAGAGATATCTTTCGCAATAAAACGAAAACAGATTGCACTTTCATTGAACAATGTTCCACCGATCTGTGCACCAACTGAACAGTTGAAATAGATCTGACTACTTCCATAGTAGCAATCCATGACACCATAACTTGGACAAGGTCCATCCGCATAGACGTAGACATCAGCTAGGAGACAGCCTTGATAGAAGGCAACACAGACAGTGCCAAATACAACAGTGATCAGAAGTAATAACATCAATTTATTGTACCATTTTCCTCCATCAATACGTTTACCGTAGAGATCAAGCCGTTGTTTCTTCTTAGGCGATGATGGCGGCTGCGGAGGTGAATCTTTTGCCGTTGTTGTGATTTTAAAAGGTTGCTGCGACAATTCTTTAGGAACAGTAGTCGTTGCTAATGTTAGGGTTTTAGAAGGCTGTGTGAATGGTTGAACTGTTGTAGTGTTTGTAGTTTCCGTACTTGTCTCCTTGTTTTTATTAGCGTCATCTTCTTCACTGTCATCATCGCACAATTCAATTTTAAACATGAGCTTAGTAATCATATAGAAGACATTTTGATGTTTGCAAATAAAAGACAATAAAACAACCACAATCACGAAAAGGATTGCACCAGCTATACCAACATTCCACGCTACATATTCCATGTATGTCCGTGCCATTTCTTAAATCTAGATGGGAAAAGGCGTACAAAATTGTAAGTTTTAGTTTTAAGGTTTGGGTAAATTCATATGATACCTACGATGTTGTACAAAAGCTTTTGAACAGGAAATGCGAAACACATTTTCTGATGTAGTTTGGTCGCTGACTCTAATGGCAAAAACCGGAGAAAAAAGCTGGAGACAAAATACTCCGCCAGCGAAACAGCGCCTAGCGAAAATGACCTTTTTGTGCAAACTATTTTGAGGCCTTCTCCCTTTCGTGGAACATTTATTTTGTCTCAAATGACAGATCTTGATGAGATCTATGCAGATTCAAAGAAAAAATTCAGGTGAACACTTAAAAGTTCGAGTTACGAATTCTCTAAAACCAAGAGGATTTCGAAAACTCCGTCAGACTTCCTGCGATTCAATTCTGATCAAAATGAGACGGATGACTAATTTTTAATGACGTTAATATGAAAAACTAGAGATTTTTTCCACATAAGGCGTACATCCAAGAGCAAAACAGCACACAGACTGAAAGGATAGAAATCTTGAAAATTAGGGCGCCTCGAAGTCCAATGGAGTTCAGGAATCCACTATTTCAACACCACTTGCTAACGGGATACCTATTGCTCAATATTATCAAACTTATTCTTTTGAACAATTAAAAACTTGGGTTAGCACCATTATTAAATGTACATACGTTTCAACCATTGCCATCACGTCATACGAGTTTACCAAGTCCATTTTTACTAGCTGGCTGTGGCGTTGATAGTACGTATACAGGAAATGATATATTACGTTGATGGATATTTAATTTTGAAAATTGTATACAAAAACAAATTCGAATTATTGGATTTTCAACAGTAAAATCTCATTTCTGAACCTCTCTAATGTTGTTGTAAACATAAATTACCTTTCCTCAAGCCTTTTCTTTTTTATGTTTTTTTCAATAGATGATGATAATAAATATATGCGAGCAATGAGGTTAATGAGTGGATGTTTTGCATCTTTGCCAAATTTTAAATTACATGAACATCCAAATGCATTTAAGATAAGATCAATATCCAAATGGCCATGGTTTTACCTTCGTCAAGGACAATTATTATTATTTTTACAAGATCCAACACATTTAGTGACCAAATAGAGAAATAGATTATTATCATCAAAGGCTTAATTATGTATTGGCCAACAATCAATTACCATTAAACATTTAAGAGATATTATTGAAAATGAACAATATACAAATGTAGATCATAATTTAATAAATCATATTTAAATCCGAAAGATCGTCAAAATTATCGTTCATGTGTAAAATTAACATCAGATGATTTATTAAATATCTTAAATGATAATATGAATACACAAGGAACATATGTTTATCTTCAATTATTAAAATTAATAATAACAGCATATATTGAAAAATCAACTACAATTAAAACATGTAAGTTGTTACATCATTTCTATCATATAATTCTGTTGCTATGATGAATAATATTTCTATATTTTTCTTTCAATGAAAAATTTGTCTTACACTTTATATGATTATACAACTTTGTATCTTTTAGGCTTGAAATCAGCATGGATTGTTGTATTTGTATGTCGTCTATGGTAGTCATGGTTAATAAATAAAATATTTACAAATCAATTCTCAGCACAATCAGTTGCATTAGCAACAACATCAAAATCAACAAAGAAAAAAATAGCAAAAAAATCTATTTTATAACTAAAACAGCATATTTATCAGCTGAATTGAATACACATAATTTATTGTATTTAATATTATTTGTTAAAGAAAAACAGTTACGGAAAGAATCATTAAATATTTATTTATTCAATTCACAATCGTGTGAAGGTATGCTTCGGAATACACGATCATTAAGTGGTGCTTATTCAACGATAATAAATTTTACAATTCATGATTTTCTTCGACAAGCTGAAAAATTATCAGTATTAAATCATATAAAATGTACTGAATTAATAAATCAAAATGATGAAAATATATTATTTCCAATACATCATAAACACAAAACTGACAACAATTTATTAACAATACCAAATTTAGATGATATTGCTCAATTAGATATAGAACAAATTATATTAGATTCATATCATACATCAATTAAATTAACTGAACGTTTAAATATAACAACATTATTAAAAAAACATCGTGTTTATGAATTAGGGCAGTTAAGTAAATTTATATTTAATAAATTAAGTTCAAAATCAAAACTACGTGATAATTCATCGCCAACACCAATAAATAATGTTGGTGATGATAGCACTGATTCAAAATCTGATGATTCTGAATTAAACCATGACAATGACAACAATAGTGATGAAGATAATGATTATATATCGGATGATGATGATGATAATGAAAATATCCAATCAACCAAAACAAATTTTTCAGGGATACATATTAAAGATAAAACTAATCTTGATTTAACAAATTCATATTTTAAAATAAAAATTAATGATACTGATAAATATTTACATGAACAATCAGCAATATGGCTATTGACGGACAAAAAACATCTTATATCTACTGATAGATTATTACGTGTAACTCAAATAAGCACAAAAAAATAATAAAACATTCATTTGCTCTTTTTTAGAATTTTTTTGTTATATTGTTTGTACAAATAAATAAAATGAGATGAACATTTCTGATTATTATGAAAACTCATTCGTTGATTATCGATATCAAAGAATGCCAACATTACATATTTTCGCATAAATTAAAGAAAACTCTTCATATTCTTAGGGAGTTCTGGATACTCATAGCGACCTGCTGGTACTCCTTGGTAATCCAAGGGGCTCCGAAGGACTCCATGGGACTTCAAGGGACGCCAACAGACTTTTCTTCTGTGGTCGAAGTCTTTGAAATGATGGTGAATTCTATGTAGATTCACCCGTTTA